AACCCGAAGAGAAATAAATCTCACAACACAATTAGAACTCTTTATAGCAACAAAGAGGAACGGTTGATTCTAGCTGTCGCAAGACTGTCCGAGGATGGAATATCAATGCTAAGTTGGTCTGTTTATGAAGATAGAAATACACTCATACCACGAATTCAGTGTCAATAGGTTTATCTGCATTCGTACAGAAGGAAAGAGATCATTCAATCGATGGGAAACTATAGCTTTTCATATCCGCTTGCGCCAATAAGAGTTAGTGTTAGTAACTGACAGATTTTAACCGAGATAGTTTATAAAAACTTGGTGCTAGGAGTTGAAAAGTATCAGCGTAGTCGTTGTTGGTCGGTTGATATATTTTTTTAGATTTGATGCATCGAAAACGGCGTACGGCCCTTCTTGATATCCAGTCAACGGTGTAACAATATATGTTGCACCAAAGATCGTACGGTTGGGGGAACAGCTGTGGGCAAAACTTATGTATTAGACCTATGTCGCGAAACCTAGCTACAGAGACTCACAATTACTATAGCCAAAAGTCACAACGAAGTCAAGAGTACAAACGGCCACCAGTTTCTGATGGCCACGCTTCATTACCTTTTTCGGTGCACCAGCGTTTAGGTTGGTAAATGGCATTGTTTGATCCACCCGCTGAGTTACTACACCTGCTATCAACGTGGAAAATCTTTTTAATGGTAGTTACGATTTTGTTGCAGTAATTATTGAGATCCTCTGTAGCTAACTTAGCTGTCACACCTGTGTTCCAAAACCTGTTAGTTATTTGATTTGATCCTAATAGTGAAAAACTAGCTGTCCTCTGCTGAAGTAGAATATACGACAGCAAGGGAAACAGTTTAGTAGGGCCACCATCGAGACCCCATCAGGAAGCGTGAGTTTGACCACGTCCAGTTTTTTAAAACCGGGTCAAATAACTTATTCAAAGCTTCCTTTTAATTGATTTTGTCCGGTAGGCATCTGACAGATTCTAGATTGATTGCATAGAAAAATCTTGCTTGAGCCGCCAGCTTACTGTTTAAAACGTGGCGGATTCCGTACGCTGTAGTAGGTTAGCCGGGTAACTTGACTCAAGCGTGATTAAACTCACAGTTCATACTGGAGCCTCGTAGCTCAGGCGGCTGTATTGAAGCCTCCCCCTTGCTGTCGTGCCTTTGAATCCCATCGGGATCGCCGGCTCAAATGAATTATTAAAATCCGTGAAAAACCTCTATTTAAAATTGAGTTCGAGTGGATCAAACGGACGCCTGGGACCAGAACAGGGTAAGTAGGCTTACCAGCGAAATAACCGGGCTGCCGACCTCCATGGAACCCAACGCGGGCTTCTGCGGCATATGCGTGTAACCATCCTGGCAGAGCATATAGTAATATTTTTCAATGCTTTCAATAAGCTGCGGATCCAGAGCGAATCGGCGGAGCAATTGAAGCACTTCAATAAGAGACATATTTTTTGTTAGGAGTGCATAAAAACAATCGTATGAATTGGAAATTTTAAGGAAATTAAATCCAATAACGTTATTTCTCGTTATTCTTCAAGGTTTTGGGCCAACATTAAATTAACATGTAGAAACAATTCTATACGAAGCGTTTCGCGAGTTACTCACGTAAAGCAGGAGTACTTAACCACAATATATATAGAAATACAACACCTAATTAATACTTTTGTGGAGATATTGTTCTAAGAACGCAAAGAAGAAGTTAATTTATGCCTCAGCCAGATGAGCTTATGTTGAAGTCAAAAGTATGTAGAAACATTTTTTAAAATTTGCATTGGCACGGATAGGTTATGTGACCTCACTTCGCTTCTGTTAATTCGTTGATCAGGTAATAGGGGATTGGTTGTACTAGAGATTTTACGGGTAAGGCATCAGGGGCAGATAAGTGGTAAGGTATATGAGATGAAATTTTAATAAAAAATTGGATTTCTGATGAACTTCCGTTTCGCTTACACCTGGCAGTAAAGTTGAGGACTTTACTTAAAAAATAAACCAAAGATGAGTCTTAGTACATAAAAAAGCACTTGAATAAACCAGCACTGACAAATGCGTGTGAAATCAGGATTCTATGGAACGCACAGCTCATAGGAACTAAGAACAGGAAGTAACGATTAGTGACAGGGAAACAATTCAGCATGAGCTGAGGCGACGCAAATGGGTATACGAGAAGCTTTGGAAATGCAGTCCAATGAACAAGAAGAAAGAGAAATAACGTAAGTATAAATGCATGTCTGTGTCCACAGAATCAATCAACTGATTAATATTATGCAAGAATTTAAAAAAGTAAAAAAACAAAGGTTATGTTGAATAAATAAATGTGTATAACAGCGGGATAGGTAATAATAATTCATTTTACTTCCTCAACTAAAGATCATCAGCAACAGGTAACACGAAAATCAGACAACCACAGTTGGAGTTTTCGCGTAAAAATAAAGAAATAACGCAAGCTATTAACTCGTCAAAGGTGGTTGAAAATTGGAAGCCGAAAGGACTGCTCCCGATTATACTAACTTGTAATTGCGGAAACTAACTGAGGTAGTTAGTCTCGAGACTTCACATGGATGTATATGTGTTATGGGTTGACTGATATCGAAGGAGAAAAGCCCTTAGGTAAGGCTACCATAGAAAGTATACCAGTAGTATAAAAGCCTATTGGAGCTGACCGACAAGGAAGCTGGACAAATAAGGACCAGTATCAGGTCGAGCCACTTGGGCACAAGTAGATGAATTTTCATATCACGTGCAACTTAGCTTAACCACCACCGGCATAAAGTAGGGGTGGGAAAAATTCCTTTCGCATATTTCGGAAAAGTATTGTGACAGCATCCCGTGGGGTCATCCTGAAGGATTGTTCCATCAAGCCAATTTATCGTCGAGCAGTATATAAAGTCTACTAAACTGAACTATCTTATTATTTCTATGGCAGGGAACTAAGTCTTATAACTTAGAAAAGATAAATGAAACAAACCCTACGCTCCCCGAAATGACTCAAAAAAGTAGTGCAAGTACCGTGGGAAAACTTAGAAATTAAGGTACAAGCAAGCGGAACTCTGCCCCCGCTTTAATGGTGGGAGTTTTTTTTCACTGCTTTCTCCTTAGTTCACCATATATTTCAAAGAGTGTTGACTATTATTTTAAAATGACGATACGTTGGCGGATATGAATTTATCTGCCTACCATACTAAACACTCCTGTTGCCTACGTGGTTGCTCAAAAAAGCAGCATTTATCAACTTTGTGTTTATATTTCACAGCACGAAGTTTGCAATGACGAAGCCTTCCGGGTCTTAAATATAAAATTTACTTATATATTCACTATGAGGGGTTGGAAACGGAAGGTGATCTTATGCCAACTAATTTGACACTAAATCAGGCCATAGTGATACAATTCTGTGCCTGTGGTGGCATCAATGTGATAGATAACATATAACGGGTAACTACCGATAGAAGCTAATAGGCGAGTTCCAGAACGCAGTTCTGAGGTAGAAGATGCGATCGCTGGGACAATAGGTTTATTTGCCCGACGTTTCGGTTTCTGTCTTGGACCCTTCAGCAGAGGTAACCGCCGAATAGGGTGATAGATGCACAGATTACGCAGTAGAGTTCTTAGTAGCCATAAGACCGCATGTGCACTATAATTAGCAGCTCTC